TAAGGTAAGTAGTGCATTATTTAACCTAATATTAATATTATATATATATATATATATATATATATGTATATAATATTCAATAGTGATATTACACCCGATTCTTGAAACCCTCTTGAAATTATATTTGAGATTTATAAACTCGAGCAAAAATCTGATATCACTACTGCTTGAATAAGCAGCGATTTCAAACCTGTAGAACATGCTTCCATAGGAGGGCTTAATACAAGGGTGGCATTTAAAATTACTATTTTCAAATTCAAACCAAAAACAAACCAATTATTTTTTATGTATAATTTTACACAATACAATATATTATTTTGTGTCCCGTAAAATAATTGATAATATCAGTTGAGCTTTTATCAAATGACATTTTTAAAACAATTAGGTATGCAAAACCATTTTTTTTAAACCCAAGGGGGGGGGGTGCTTACCAAAAAGTTAGAATCCAATGCTGAAACCAGTGGGGGGTTACCACGGAGGTTCCAGTTCTTACCAGGGAGCAGTTAAAAAGAAAAATGTTCTTACTTTGATCAATATATTCAATATGTTTGTACGCATGGATATAATGAATACATTAAACATTTAATTAAGATGACCATATTTTTTTAAGTCAAACCCGGGACGGCGATTTTTAGTTATGCTAATCTAGGACGGAGGGGGGTGGGGCTTAGTCTTTAAAATAATAAATGCTATTTAAGGATACAATGAAAAAAAGTTTTTATATGAATTATTTTTCATTAATCAAAATTGTGGACTTTTGTTTCTATTTTTTTTTGCTTTTGAGCCTTGTTTAAAATTCTATTAAATTTTCTTCATAATTAATTTAAAAAATAGCACTTGTTCGTTATTTTTCATAATTTTTGTTATCTTTAATTTCAATTTTCGAAAAACAGGGACAACCTGGGACAAAAGATCTAAATCCGGGACAATTACTGCTTTTAGAAAAACCCGGGACACAAGGTGGAAATCCGGGACTGTTCCGGCCAAACCGAGACGGTATGGTCACCTTAATTTAATTCACCTTATGTTTGCAAGAATTATTAACAATACATTCAATGAAAAGTAAAACTTTTCGAGTGACGTTGCAATTTAGAATGATCAAACTTTTATTTTCTGCGACAAATGCAGATGTGATAATTGATTATGCACAACAGCCTTCTTGTATTCTTAGTTAACATTGATTGAACGATTCTAAATAGAATGAGTAAAAATAACTAAGGCTATGTACCTATGATTTATTATTTATTGTATTTATTTATTTATTTATCATATAGCCCACAGAGAACTTAAAAAAGCAATTTTAATAATACATATTATAATCTATTATGTAGTCTATAAAACTGTTTAAACGATGTTTTACGATTCAGAATCAAAATGTTTACTGAAATATTATATTATAATATTACATATGTGGGTTGGCTGACAGGCTCAAAATGAATAATATTAGTTATAACAAAGTTATTAACTTTGCAATATTTATCATTTTGTACAATACTTTAAGTTTATATCATTTATTAGCGCTTACTTTTATTTATTTATTTTCTTTATAAATTTGAGATTTAATTATAAACATGTCACGTTATACCAGTAAAAACATCAGAAATTTTAAATATCCATTATAATTAAATAAAAAAATATAATAATTACATAAAAATGAATTATTCAATATATAAATGGCTTTACTTATTATACATACTTATTTCATTATATATTTTATGTGAATGGAAAATCCAGCTAGTCGTGGTTGGGTGATCTGTAATAAATAAATGATAATATGTGGTATGTGGATTCTTAATGTTTTAGTACTATAATACATGGTGATTCACCGTGCATACCAGGTAATACAGGTAATACTGGTAATACTGGTAAATTGCAAAAATTTGGTAAACATTGGTAAATTAGTACTGTTAGTGAAATACAAAAAAAGGCGATTAAAAAATCAAAAATATGAAAGATTTTATGAACATATGGGATGTATTTACGAAGATCGTCATGAAGAAACTGTAGCATGACAAATGTTAGAACAAGAACACGTTCATTGAACCATGTGACTTGATCGTTGAATTATTGACTCTGACGTTCATGGAAACGTAGCCTAATTTTTTTGAGCAGACCACGTGTTAATGCTCTCCGTAATGTTGTTGAAATTGTATGTCAATGGCTGGTCGTGACACACTCACTCAAAAGCGTCCTATAAAATACTGACATAGATCTAGAAAAGTGCATGTTGCATCAACGCTGAACATTTGTTATTAACAAATTTTACAGAAAAGAGTGTTAAATATCAAGCCCTTTGCATGCCGTATGCATTGTGTAAATTTATTACCTTTAAGCGTTTTTCCTCGTCACTTGCATTAGAAGAAATTGATATATGGATACGTCTACATTAGACGATATGTTGAATGTTGATATTATCTGAAAAAATATTTCTTATTTAAATTTTCTTTAGAGGTGAGATATTGATTGTAGTTCCATTTAATTTATCCTATTTTATATTTTATTTACTAATAACATTGAATTTTTATAATGAAATTTAAACAAAATAGCTCTGTGGCGAAATTAAACAACGTGCCAAAATTCTTGCTAAAACAATATGCGATTATAGATTCATTATGATTATTATATGATTCAACTATTGATCTATCTATATTTGATAAATTTTGATTTTTGACTAATCACTAATTCTGATGATATTTTTTTAAATTGATATTTTCACTTGGAATCATATTTTAGATTTACATATTCAAGCGAAAACTGATATCACTACTGCTTGATATTGTCTTAGACGGGAATTGAACCTGGAGTTCTGTGGTTGCAAGGCCAGAGCTCTCACCATTTGGCTAAGTGATAAATAAGAGGTAAATTGTAGTAACGTAGTTTTGAATTTAGTAAGCTTGACTTTTCAAAATAAAAAAGAAATTATTTTGATAGTTAATATTAGATTAATAATAGAAATAATTTTATTAATAATTAATAAAAGTAAGTTTATTTAAAATGTAATATAACTAAAAAAGCGTAACAAATCACAATTATTTTGCACATTGTCTAGTATTACAAGTTTAAAGTCATGGACAGTGACATTATTAAACTAAAGTTGTTTGAACTAATTAATTTAGGTATATGATGTTCTTTGGAACAAAACAAATAATGACATCAGTGCCTGTGTGTAGAAAATTTGTTTGGATTTGAAGTTGAAACAATCTTCCGATATACAAATGATGAGTTTTCTAGGTCACATTTTATAACAATAAGAAAATTCCATGGACAATTTTCATTTTCATATTTTATAATTTTGTTTTCATTAATAATGTTGGCGAGATCATCTTTCTTCTAAATCTTGGTCAGGGCATTACGAATGGGCTGTTTAGTTTAGTTGACTTAATTATTTCAGCAAACACAGAATTATCGGTATTAGTTTAAAACGTTTTAATTATTTTCTTCGACCTAAATATCTTTGAAATAGAGTTGGATTTAGCTAAGTCGTCTTTTGGACATAATTATAATTATTTTACGTATTTAGATTTAAAACAAATAAACATTTATTCAATAAAAAATCCATAGTAGAATATTTTGTTAACTCTTGTTTTTAAAATGCTCAATTAAAAATTTTTCGTTATTGTCAATTGAAATACGCATTGACTAATAATCGAATTTGTTGTCAAACTTAAAAAAGTATATACTATTCTAAAATATTTTTCAATATTTTCTTGAAGAACTATTCTTCTATATTGAAAACTATTGTTCTTGGAAATACGATTAAAAAAATTAAGAATAGAAGAAATTAAACAAAATTAATAAATAGCATTAAAAAAATTATTATTTAATACAACATAACTAAAAAAGTTAAATTAGCTTCATTTTAATCCAATCATAATGGCTTATACAATTGTATAATTTTGATTATTTTTTGTATTATCAATAAAAAAAATGATAAGGTAATAATAGAAATAATTTGCGCTGCTATTTCGTATGTTATACTTAAAATTGGCATATAATATCTGATGGTGATAGCATATAAAGCCATTATATTTCGTTTTTTAATCACTTAATTTTAACTTATTTGCATTCACATATATTTCGTTTTTTACTTTGATTCATTTTGCTTTGAGAAATAATTTATTTTAATTTCTTGTACAGAGTGTCGATTTGCTTCTACTTTAAGATTTCAATTATTTTTATGCATTTTTTTACCTATATAAAAGTCTTATTTGTTTTTTATGAAGACCTTTTTAATACTTTCGTAGATGATTACTCATTGTGTAATCTATTTTAGTATTTTTAACTATAGGAAGTTATAGTCATCGCAAAAAAATCGAAAATGAAAACGGCGCGTCCCATTTTAATAATTCAAAAAACATTTTACTTGTATCTAACGGCCTAACGGTTTGGGAGATCTAGTTCAAAATCTCCAAAATATTTCAAAATAAAGAAAACTTTTTTTCTCAGTTTTTTTCCAAGAAAGTCATTTTTTTCAAAAATTTAAAGTTTTCCAAAAATCCAATTTTTTTAAAGTTTAAAAAACAAATTTAATCTTGTTTAATAAATCTAATTTTTGGTACGAGAAGTTCCAGCAATTTGCCGATATATTTTTACCGAAATGTATGAGAAGGAAATTATGGGTATATTAATTTTTTACATACAAACACATTGTATATATGTAGTTTTTTCAGCATTCATCCGTCCATCTATCCATTCATCAATTATAAAAAAAAACAAAATAAAGCGATTAAGAGGTGGCGTTAATTAGTGTGGTTAATGTTTCGACTCTCTAATTGACTCATCTTCAGCGCGATGTCGAGAAAAACTTTCAATCAGTTAAAATTTAAGCAGTACTAACAAGAAGTGAAAACAATTATTGAATATAGCCATCAATGTGTTACGCACGGTGAACGTTGCTCTGTTCCGCTTGATTTGAATATACTCTCATAACATTTCTTCTTTCGATGGCACTCGCCTTCATCTCGTTACTGTGTCAGGGCACTGAAAGAATGTGCCAAATATTTGTAAACACGATCATTATTCGTATCAAGATTTTCATGCAATTTCGTGTCATTTACTAAAAGAGTTGTGTGCGCAATCTCATGGTCTCAGTTGCAGAGCCGTTCAACGAACCGATAAATTTCCCAGTGATAAATTTACTATGCAGTCCATTCTCATTTTTCGATAAATCCCTAAAGACAGTGTTTTCAAAATTTGGTGCAAGTGATGTTGTGGTGATGGTGATATAGCTATGGTTAAGTTCAGTGCATGGACAGCGCGATTTGTGATTTTGGTGATATTACTACAAGACATTAGTTCCTCACCAGCTTTACCTAATTTTGATATCTGGAGTGATATTACGACGCCGAAACAGAATCTGATACGAGTAGGATTTGAAAAAGTTCATCAGACCTTGAACAGCACGTCGTCTAGAAGCCGTTATGGAAAAGGTTGTACTTTTTTAAATTATAACAACGTAATACGACGACTTTGCGCTTATTGTAATTGTTAATATAATCATAACCGCGACCGTTACGGTGTTAACGACTACCTAATTATGTACATTTAAATTAACGCATCTAAGAGACCTGAAATGATAGTTACAAAATTTAGTTTGCTGTGTACTATCTGCACCTCAGTATGTTTCTTAAAATAAAGTGACTCGAATCTACCATTAAACAAAACCTAAATGTTACATTAGTTACTTTTCTTACCAATTAAAAATGTATTAAATATAATAATTCTTATTTTTGTGCAATTAGTTCTGTGATTTTTTTAACCCTTTATGAGCCGATTTTTGTTTTACATCCAAAAAAATTAGGGAAACAAAAATCTGTTAATTATAAGTTTATATATGCAAAAATAACTCAATCTTAAACAATTTTTTGCATTAACGAATTATGTGACTTTCAAGTCACAACGGCCTATAATATTGCACTTGTGTGTATGAAAATGTTATTTCACGTGGAAAAGCCGAATAAAGGCGATAAATATTGATATTAGTTGTCATTATATAATTCAAACTTATGCGTACTCTTAGTAAAAAAAAACAATTATTTGTGACCTGAAACCTTTGTGAATGTGACCTGAAAGTTACGCGGACCAATAGGGGGTTAAGTTTTTTTTGAACCAATATATGAGTTTATATTATTTAATATTTTAAAGTGTATATATATAAATCGTTGTTAATCATTAGTTAATTTCGTTTATAATTTATCCATTTAGTTGATATACCTTACACAAAGCTATAATTTAGTAATTCCATGAGGTTAAAAAGAGAGTAAACAATAAAAAAGTTAATACTAGAGAATCTCACGCAATATAATAGAAATTTATCTTGAGAAATTATTCCTATAAAGTTTTCTTACTGATCAATTTTGAGAATAAAAAAAAAATTATACATTCAGAGTCTAAAATAAAGAAATTATTGTGTGTTTTTAGCTAGGAATATCGAATCATGCTTCGGCGTTCTAGATCGCTTTCTTTAAATAATTGTTATGCTTTAATGTGCAGCTTATCAACTTTGGAATATTTTAGAAGAAATTATTTTACAATCAGTGTTTTAAAACTATTTTTTAATAAAACTATAACGCTATTAAGGGTTTTAATAGGTTTAACTCCAATAATAAACTACACACAACTCGCTATACTTCAGCTCTTTAAAAAAAAAACCCTATGAACCGCAACAAGTTTTCATTTTGTACTATAATTTATAAATCATGTTACTATTAATGTAGCTTTAATAAAATAACATATTTTTTTTCATAGAATTGATTGTCATAAAAAGTGGTATGATGGATTTTATTAGGCCCACTTTTGTGCGTTTCTTGTACGCCGCCTAATCTTTATTATTTCCAAACTCTACCAGTTTGTCATAACATTTTGGTCAGGTTTTGACTATAGTGCGAGTTTTTTTATGTGGATCTTATCTATCGCACAAGAACAGGTTTAACTGTTATAAAAAATGTGTATATATACATAGTTTATATAAATTTCTTTTTATTTAGATTTTTTTCAGAAATATTTCAACCTTATATCTATCTACTATATTCAAATATTGTGCAAAAATTAATTGTAATAATATCGAAGTGATTATTTTTTTTGCATATAAAGTTATATTTTATGCATTTGTGATATTCTTTGTTCGTGATGTCGCTCATCAAAGATCTGAAGGAATTGTTTTCATTTTGGCCATTGAATGTCATAAGTAAGTAACATATTTTTTGGAGTAGTATTATATATACCGATAAAAATTATTCAATGTAACTATTAAGCAATTTAATATATGTGTTTATAAAGATTTGTTTCTGCATTTTGAAAATCTTGAAAAAATGAATATATTAAATTGCTGCAGATAATAAAGAGCCATTAAAGACCCGAATTTTGCATTTTTGCTTTTAAAAATGTCTATTAATAAAACTTTTAGAATTATTATCGATATATTTTTTTTATTGGTATAAACATTTTTAAATCTTGTCATAGTTTTTTAAGTTGCAAAGTTTTATTATTTTTGAATAATGGCGATTCTGAAGAATATTTGCAAAACAAGGAAAAGAAAGCAGATGCGGAATCTTGTAAATTTGAGAAATAATCGAGCTGGCGAGAAGTGGAGACTAAATTGGCAAAATGAAAGGATTATTTAAAAGGATCGGAAGGAATTTAACCCTTTCCACTCGCGAATTGCAGAAATTATATGTATTTTAGCACCGGAGCGGCGGCGTCCGAGTCGAAAGGGTTAAAAGTAGACAACGTTTGTAAGATGGACAAAGAAACTAGAAAGCCTGAGATATTCATTTTCTGAATCTGACTTTCAGAAGCATTACGAGAAAGATGGACAGGTGCAAAAAAATCAATAGTGTAGATCCAAGGATGTCCAGAAATTAAATAAAGATCATTCGAGAAACAGCGATGGCGAAGGCGAAATATATGGGCGAGACGTGCACCAGGATAATATAGCGGCAAAATCAAAGTGGGCATTATTTGATTTGAGACAACAACTGAATTAGACAGAAAGTAATATCAGGAAAACCTATGAAATTGAACACCATAAATACACCGTAAATGGGTAACTGATAACAAAAAAAAATGTTGGCTTGTCGCGTTAATTTGAATTACATTGAAAAATTTTATGCTAGAGAAAAATTCGGGCAACATTGCTATGGATAAAGAGGAAAATTCGATTAAAGTCGATAGGAGCATACTAAGAAATAAAGTTGAGAGAGCAATAGACTTTGGAAGCAAAAAATTTACACTAAGCGATTATAATGTAGTGTTTTAAATGTGACTAAGGTCACTATTCAGGAGAAGTTCCAAGCGAACAAATGTTGCGTTCACAAGGTACCAGATTTTTTTCTTTTCAATTCAGATTTAAAAAAAGGAACATGGACCAGAAATGCTATCAGAATATTGAGTGTCATGTCGTATTGGTGCCTGAAGATGTTGGCATAGTGAATTAAAATATTCTAATGGCGACATTGAAAATGATTGTCATCAATCGGAGATATTGCATATTGATTCAGAATCTGCACATACGACAGATGGTAAAATTCGACTTAACCAAAGCGAAAAGGGAGTGTGGCAAGGACTCTGCCTATCACTCTGATCAGGATCTCTAATTATCGAGGTTCTCAGACACTGAAGATTTTTATATTCGAGAAAAAAGAATCACAACCGTAAAGTACGTCGTTGAAATTGCATTATTAACGGAAGCCGGAATTGGAATTAAAAACATCATTAACAGAATCGACGAAGCGGGTAAAATATATGAAATTGAAATCAATCCACATTGACAAATTAGTGTAGATATTGAGAATGTTGAAAAGAGGTTTGAGCCTTTGAGGATATCAGTGGAAAATGAGAAAATGGAAATGTCATAACATTTTTTTAAATTTTTATTATTGCGAATTTTTTAATTTGCTAAGTTATTATACAATATATAACAATTATATTTTAATATGTTAATAATTTGTAATACATTACTAGTTAACTTCCCGTAGGGTAAGTTATTGTAATCGTCCAAAAATCGAAATTGAAAATTCTTATATATCTTTACGTTTCAAAACCTTCTGAACATTTTGGCATACTTCAGAAAAAATGGATGTATGTGTGTGTGTGTATGTGCGTGTACGTATGTATGTGCGGATACAAATTTTCGTCGACGATTTCGGGAACACGGATCAACCGATTTGAATAATTCAAAAAACATTCGATTTGTATTGATAAGGAGACGCGCTGATTAGTTTGTGGCGAAGGCAGGTCTAGCCGTTCCGAAGATACGGGGCAAAAAGTGTCGAAAACGGTAACTCAGTTTTTAAGAGAACGGAGCGTCCGATTTGAATAATTCAAAAAACATTTTATTTGTATTGACTCAATGAAGAACTGTTCAAATTTTTGGAAAGGCAGGTACAACGACTTTGGATATATGGAGAAAAAAGTAAAAAAATGAGCCATTTGGCGGTCAAAAATGAACATTATACATATGCACATCAAATTATCAGATATTTTATAGAGATTTTAACAATAAGTATAATTTTTTTTACATTTTTATGCGTTCCGTACCAATGCTTATGCGATAGACGGCGGCGCGGCACTTGCGCGCTTTGACATTTCGTCTCTATGCAGTTCAAGCAGTACGATTGCTTTGAAAAAAAGTTCAGAATTTCCAAAATATGTCAAAATGAAGAAAACATTTTTCTTTTCAAAAAAAATTTGTTTTCAAAAAAGAATTTTTTTTTAAAAAAAAGTAATTATTTGTCAAATTTATAGTTTCTCAAAAATCTAATTCTTTTGAAGTAAAATTTTTTCAAAAATGTTAATTGTTTTTAAAAAAATAATAATTTTTGGTACGGGAAGTTCCAGAAATTTGCCTTAAGGCACGATGCCTTAATTGCCTTAAGACAGAATTCCACTTACAGCTAGTTTGATATAGATTTTATAAATTAAAGAAATAAATCTACATAAAATTTGTTAACAGTCACTTAAGTTTCTCTGAAATGTGACGCAGATGTACTATGTATTTATGATATATATTAAGTATTTTTATAATTACTCACAATATATTTTCTCTTGCAGTGTTGAATTTCTTCCCGTTGCCCGTCGAAGAGGAGTGCTTATCCAAGGATGGGCGGCGCGCCGGTTTGTGCCTGAACACTTACGAGTGCAGGATTCAAGGTGGAACAGCGCGCGGATCTTGCGCCCTCGGCTTCGGAGTTTGCTGCGTATGTAAGTACAATATTATACTAGTGGGGCGCATGGCATCGTGTAAATTGCTGGAACTTCCCGTACCAAAAATTATTATTTTTTTAAAAACGATTAACCTTTTTGAAAAAATTTTACTTCGAAAAAATTAGATTTTTGAGAAACTATAAATTTGACAAAAGTTACTTTTTTTGAAAAAAAAAAAAAATGTTTTCTTTATTTTGACATGGTTTGAAAATTCTGAACTTCTTTTCAAAGCAATCGTACTGCTTTAGCTGCATAGAGACGAAATATCGAAGCGTGTAAGCGCCGCGTCGCCGTCTAACTGATAAACATTGGTATGGAACCTATAGGAACATAAACAAAATTTATACTTATTGTTAAAATCTATATAAAATATCTGATAATTTGATGTGCATATGTCTAATGATCATTTTTGACCGCCAAATGGCATTTTTTTTTTACTTTTTTCATTAGATCTCCGAAATTGCTAGACCTGCCTTCATGAAAATTTGATCTGTCTTCGCCAAAAACTAATCAGCACGTCTTATCAATACGAATCGAATGTTTTTTGAATTATTCAAATCGCTTCATCCGTGTTCCCGAAATCGTTGACGAAAATTTGTATCCGCACACACACACACACACGCACACACACACATACACACACACACACACATACACACACACACATACATCCATTTTTTCTAAGGTATGCCAAAATATTCAGAAACCTCTGAAACGTAAAGATATATACAAATTTTTATTTTCGATTTTTTTTGCGATTACTATAACTTACCCTACGGGAAGTTAATAAGATAGAGCGAGGATTAAGGGTCCGCTGGTAAAAAGGTACGCTAACACTATCACTATGCAATAAAACTTAATATTTTTGATATAAATACTGTTTAAAAATGCAATAAAAATCAATTTTTTTTGTTAAATAAATCTATTTTTTTAAAATCAGAATTAATGACTTATAGTAAGGACTCTATTATTCGATTAATTGTTATATTATATTTTTTGTTTCTAAACTTGCCATTCAATTTTTTTTTAAATTATCTTAATGATAGCACTTAGGCCAGACAACAGTCTAAAAGTTTTCATAATTTTTGTTAACATTCGTCAAAATTATTAAAGTAAGAGGATATTGAAATCCGCCTTCGGAATTTTGTATTCAGCATTATTTACATTCATAATGTATTCTTTGTACATAACATTTTCAGATATTTGATGGGTAGTTGTAATTTTATTATCAAGTAAGGGCGAAGATTCAATTTAAGCCTATACCTTACTTTATAAAAAATCTAAATGCAAATAAAGCTTTTAGAAAAACCCGGGAGATAAGGTGGAAATCCCGGACTGCCTCTACCAAACCGAGACGTCATCTTACTTAAGACTGCTCTAAAAATGACTGCAATAAATTCTATTTTTATTACTATAAGTTTTTTTACTTATTATTTTATTTTATATATTTATAAAAATTTTTATGCGATATTGGAAAAGCTCATTGATGAATAATAAAAATTTATAATTTGTTTACTGATGATTATATTTATTGATTAATTTATTCATAAGCACTAATAATAAATATTACCTACTTCAGAGTCTTATCATTTTATTAATCCTTTATTGTATATCTTCAAATGCTTCAATGTATAGTAAATATTGTTAGCCGTCCAAAAAAATGATTTCTCATAATAAACAAGAACATATTTATTTATGTATAAGTATCGAAATTAAAACTTTGAGATAAATTGAGGACTTGTTTGAGATAAAAAAGTCATTTATAAATTTAGCGTTCAAGTTCAATTTCGGTTTGTTTCTTAGAAAATACGTTAATATGATAAAATTATTACTACATTTTATGTGATAAATATTTTTTTATAAGGCGCTATACAAATGATCATTTTTTAGTTACTGCTACATGTGGCGGCGAAGTAGCTAATAACATCACATACATAGTTTCTCCTGGTTTTCCTGGACTTCACACTGATCCTCCAGCCACATGCGAGATTATTATCAAACAACCGGCTGAGGAAATTGCACAACTTCGATTTGATTTTGTGCATTTTAATATTGTAAGTAAAATTATATTTTAGTGCCTATCATAAAAAGCATAGTTAAACCAGTAGGTCCAGGTGCAACACTCACCTTGGAAAACCTCTGTTGATGTTGGGGGGTTTCTCAACCCCTTTCGAAGTATTTTATACTTCGAGGAAAAATAAAAAAATTAAATGTATTCAGAAAACAAAAACCAATGGTAAACAAATATAAATTAAAAATAAAATTCTTCTTACTCCGTAATCAATAATAAACTAAAATATATTCTATATAAATTTTATATAAATGAAAAAACAAAAATGAACACTAATTAATATTGTATGAAAATGTTATCTGTTTTGGAAGTCCAAGCCGCGGCAGCTATTTGGTTGGATCTGGAAACATCAGCGTAGTCGGTTGGATAGGTTGAAAAGAAATTCGAATACACTGACAAATAAAAATAACTGTTGACTTGACACACAATAGAAATTTAATCCACTGATAATATTGAACTGATAACAAACACTGAAAGGAACTGAATGTATTGATTGCAAGTAACTGAATGAATGAATTAAACCAAAATGAATGAAAACCACGGAATAAATCAACTCGAACACTGTAAGGAACTGAAAGTAACTGAACGAATGAAAGGCGCGGAATGAATTGATTTGAATGCCAAAAACTATTGCCTGCATCGGCCTTTTTATGAGTCAGAATTGCCCGATTGCCTAAATTTGAAACGTGTTGTCCAAGTAGAAAAACAAACCTTTTACAGGTCCGACAACCTACACAGGTGCGGCGCAAACATTTTCCCCCGACTAAGAGGTTAGCCTTTTATACTTCTGAAAATACTCGAAATTGGTACATAGTGAACCTCATGATTAGGAAGGATAGAATTGCCAAAATAAATTCAAACTTTCATTCAGAGTAGATCGGTTACGGAAGCCTGACATCGCGCCAGGGTCCCGCTCTCACGACCTACCACATTCACACGATCTAGATTGCGGAAGTTTTATTTTCGCGCCAGGGTCTAGATTTTTTGGACAATTACAAGAATCTTCCAGAGACTATGAGGGGTGTTCTCATCGCCCTGGAGATTGAAAATTTGGCAAAACTATATATAGAAGCAAATATATCATGAGATAGAAAAGTTTTTTTTTTTTGAAATGAATAATTCAGATATAAACTATTGAATAGGTAGGGGGCATAGTTTGACAACAGGCCGCTTGATTAGGGTATTTCCCGTTTTTACCAATGCTACTCGAACCACTCCATCAGGGCCCGGAAAAACCTCTTCAACTCTTCCCAACCCCCAATGAAGCGGACGCGCATTCTCTTGTTTTACAACTACCAAATCACCCTTTTTAATAGGATTAGTGACTGTATTCCATTTCTGTCGGACCTGTAGCTCGGTTAGATATTCCACATTCCATCGCTTCCAGTAAGAAGCGACAATATGATCTAACAATTGTTTTCTTTTAGTCAAATTCAAGTTTTCATAGTCAACGGGCAAATCCGACAGAGGCTCTTGCATTAAGAAGTGCGCAGGCGTAAGAGGTTGAGGATCCGATGGATCATTGCTCAGCCAACATAACGGTCTTGAATTCAGTAAGGCTTCGATTTGATTGAGGACTGTATTAAACTCTTCGTAGGATAAAATTTGCAACCCTATAACTTTAAACAAATGGGTCTTCACTGATTTAATATTCGCCTCCCATATACCTCCAAAATGTGGGGCAAACGGTGGATTAAATTTCCATTCAATGTCATGTAAAACCAATAATTCATTGAAACGCTTTTTATACTCTTCGGAATTTAGGAGAAGGAATAAGGAATCAAGAGTATTTTTGGCTCCTATAAAATTGGTTCCACAATCGGAGTAAATACATTTGATAGGACCACGCCGGGCTAGGAATCGTTTCAAGCAATCTAAAAATGTATCGCTTGTTAAATCTGAAGCTAATTCGAGATGTATCGCCTTAGTGGCTAAACAGATGAACAAGCATATATAAGCCTTGTAGGTTCGAGCGCCTCTGTGACGACTCATGGAGATATTGAAGGGGCCTGCATAATCAACGCCGACGTTTAGGAAAGCACTACTGGCTGTTATGCGCGGTACTGGTAAGTCGCCCATGAATGGAAAAATGGGTTTCGGATTCTGTCGAAAACAAGTTATACACTTGTGAAGACGATTACGAATTATTGCACGAGCCGACAAGATCCAATATTTTTGCCTCAATAAAGATAATACTAAGTTTGATCCAGTATGTAAATTATTAATATGGTAGTAATCTATAAGACAATTTACTACTTGGTCTTTTTTTGGCAAAAGAAGTGGATTGTTATTAGTTGTTAATCCTAATCTACCTTTAACGCGCAAACAATTATTAGAATCCAAAACCACATTTAGTCGGCAAAACTTCTTCGAACAAGACTTTCCGTTCGTTAATAGTTTGAATTCTTCGGGAAAATGATGTTCTTGGACTAAACGAATAATAATAACCTCGGCTTGTTTCAAATCTGAAGTCAAAAGTCGGTTTCGATTTGTTATAATTTTACAAAACTTCAATATATAAGCGAAAATTCTTACAAGTTTGCACCAATTAGAAAATTTTTGCGTTAATTCATATAAAGGATTGATCGGTGGTATGACACTCTTTACTATTAGAGCGTTAGCTTTTCTTTCTTGATCAATATCTCCGGAAGGTTCAACCGTTTTTGCAGGCCAAGTTGATATAGGACCATTCAACCAATCCGGCCCAAACAACCAATTCTTATGTTGGATAAAATCCTTAGGTCGAAGACCTCGAGAAACACAATCGGCTGCATTTTGATTAGAAGGAATGTGAAGCCATTGTGCATTAGGAATGAGATCCCGTATTTTTGTTACCCTATTGGCTACAAATGTTTTCCAACGAGTAGCCGGTCCTGCTAACCAGTGAAGGACAATCATAGAATCGGAAAAACAGTAAATAGAATCAAAATCTATACTATGTTGGTTATTCGTTAATATAAAATTCAGAAGTTTTGACAGTAAATGACAGGCACAAAGTTCAAGCCTGGCTAATGTTTGGTTTTTAATCGGTGTTACACGCGATTTGAAATCAACAAGAAATTCGGATTGCCAAGAGATTAATATAAACTACCGCTCCATACGCTTGCTCTGAGCTATCCGCGAAACCAAATAATGTACATTTGTTTGTGTTTTGACGTTTCGAGATAACGCGGAATCTGATAGTTATTAAGATGCTCTAATTCGGAATATACGGCTAACCATGATGTAATAATAAATGATGGTAATTCCTCATCCCAATCGATTTTTAAGGTCCAAATTTTTTTCAATAATATTTTTATCTTAACAACTATCGGAGTTAGGAAACCCAGAGGATCCCAGATTCGCGCTATTACTGAAAGAAGTTGTCTCTTGGTCCATTTTCTCCACGTAAGCTTTATTTCGAATGAAAAATTATCTGATAAGGGATCCCATTTTAATCCCAATACCTTTGTAGAAGATTCCATTTGAAAATCCGATTTAGAGAAATGTTTATTTTGTACATCAGAATCAGGAAAAAGTTTACGCAGATTAGAATTATTAGATTCCCACTTTTTTAATTCAAAACCACCAGACGATAATACAGTCTGCAAACCCTCGCAAATGGTTTTAGCGCTATCCAAGGAGTCGATACTTGTAACCACATCATCAATATAGACATCGTTCTCAAGAATTCTAGAAATAGATTGAGAATATTTGGAACATTCGTCTCGGGAAAGTTGTTTGATGGTTCTGATAGCTTGAAAGGGAGATGACGATAGACCAAAAGTTACAGTATTTAATTCATAGATGCCAATGGGTGCATCGGGAACCGGTCTCCATAAGATTTTTTGATATTTTCTATCTTGTTTACGAACCCAAATATTACGATACATTTGTTTGATATCAGCTGTTAATGCTATAGGCCCGAAACGAAAATTTAGAAGGATTGAACAAATGTCGGTTTGTAATTTAGGACCAACATGCAAAATTTCGTTCAAGGAAGTGAATTCTGAATTTTCGCAGATGCATCAAACACAACGCGTAAAGGCGTGGAGGAACTTTCTTTTTCGACTGCGAAATGTGGAATATAATATCCATTTTTTATTTTAATAAAATCATCGACTTCCTGATCTACCGGACAATAATCGACAAAGGATAATTGGTTTTGGGTCAGGTAATCTTCTATAACGGCGGCATATTTTTTATGAAATTCGGGATATTTCAAAAATTTATTTTCAAGCATTTGGTATCGCTTTAAGGCTAAATGAAATGATTTGTATAAATTTCTGCCTTCACTTTTAAAAGGCAGCGCTACTACATATCGTCCATCTGGAGATCGCGTAGTAGTTGTAGTAAAATGGTTTTCGCATAAATCATCGTTAGAAGAGAGGATTATTTCGGGAATGTCTTCTAATGTAAGAATTTATTCATTTGTAAATGGAAATCTGAATCTGAAACATTACATAAATTAGTAGAAGTGCCGGTATTTTCAAATAAATCAGGAATGGAACCTAATATTAAATAACCCAACCGGGTTTCTAGGGCCACAGGTAATCCTTTATCATTTTTAACTTGATTAGTGCCAAGAATTTCGCCGAAAACATCGCAAACCAAAATTCCGTCGACCTCCTGGGGTGTATGAAAGTTAGGATCCGCTAAAGGATAATTCAGAAATGTTTTGATGGATGAAATCGGAATGGTAAATTGTGGTTGCTTTCCCACTATCTCGTGTACTACGTATGCACAGACCGATAACTGATAAGAATCGATTAAAGATTTCAAAGTGAAATTAACTAATCCAATAACTTTATGTGACGAATTGCCTAACCCGATCACTTGGGTTGATATTGGAAGAATTTGTAAATCAGCCTTTTTGCACCAAGTTAATGTCACAAAATTCTATCGCTTCCCGAATCAATAATGTACGTAATAAAATGTTTTCTTTTCTAGTAGTAACTTTTTACTACTGCTGTCGGCAATATGGTAATATGATGTGCGATTTTG